AACAAAAAAATATGGGACGGGGTGGCCTAGCGGCAGAGAGCTTGACTGCTAACCCGTAAGTCTCGAGTTCGAATCCGGGTCCACGTCAGCGCTATGCCCAGCAATGTTCCCTCTAAGGACCAAGAGTGTGTGTGCAAAAAATATGTAGTGTGCGCGGTGCTAAAAATGACTTGAGCAAAATAATACGTATTTTTAGTCTTGCAATTAAGCATAATAATGAAGGCATGCATTTTGATAAATTAATAGTATAATGTGTGTGACTAATGAAACGTATGCAATTAAATGGAGACACGAATACCATCAAAATAAAAAAAAAACTTATAAAAACTTTCAGAGTTATACTTAGACAACAAGTTATATGGTCGACTTACTATGTTAAAGTAAGACAGTCATATGGTAATAATGCTAATACTATAACGGTAATACAAACACAATAGTTTAACATATGCAACATTTAATAAAGCTGACTTAAAAAACAAATATTAGCTAACCTTTCAGGGGCATTTTATTGCAATTTCTCGCGTCTAACCTTGCATTGCTTCCACACCTTATATGCTTTGTTTAAATCCACATCCTCTCCAGCATTTAGATATAATTTAATTTGCTTTAGATTCTCCAAATGTGTGGCTTCAAGTATATTTCGTGCTTGCACTTTTATTATGTTAATAAGGCTAAAACCTTGTTCGTAATCAGCACTGCATGCTTGGAAGGTACAATAATGTCACTTAACTTTGCCAGTGAGCTAAATTGTTCTTTGTTTTGACAAATCTTGCATATTCAGACATATAATTTACAGACACAGATCTGAGTTTTTCACTTTATTGGAATTTGAAGTCGTTGTATTGGATGGTAATTAACTGATCATTTGTTGTACGTAACCCGTCTTTGTACTTTACGCACAGTTCTTTGATATCTTTGACGCCCAAACTCAAATGCACATTTTTTTAAAACCTGTAGAATAAAAAAAGATGACCAAAACTGCAGTTCATCTCCTGGAAACCAAACATTTAAATGGTCGCAGACTGATTGTATGTACTGTGTGGTTTGCCTTGTGTCGATTCTTTCGTTTAACTCACACTTTTCTTGGCTTTAAATGTTCAGTGTAGTGATGTGTTACGGCTGACTCCAGAGCTAAGGCATCACTTACAGCAGGCTGAGTTATTCCACTAAAAACGGTTTTGTAGAATACAGAATTGACTGGACGAAATTTAAAATAAAGGATAGCATTTTATGTACTGTTATGCCATCTACTATAAGCGTGTGGAATGATGCTGCTCGAAGTTATGTCAGTATGTTCTTTACAACAACATCGTTGATTACTTGAACAAACTCAAAGGCGTACTTCTTACTTCGCCAACTGTCTGGTATAGAAACATACTTCCCCCATGTGGTTATGAATCAGTTGTACCGACAGCATCGAGGCGTTCATCCTTATGGTAAGAAGAACATTATCCGTTAGGATTCGAACTTGATCCTCGTTTGACCGCTGGCGCTCGTTTTGCTCAATTAGTTTTCCTCGCTCAATGTAAGTTTCAACCAGCAGACGTTTAAGACCAGTCCCATTTGAGCGGTTGTACGAAATCGCAACATTTCCTACATAAACACGAGACAATAAATGACGTTTTCAGTAGTCAAGCGCCCATGATTCCCAGAGCTTTCCTGTGACCAATTCGTTGCTCTTGTTGGTTTTGTTACAAGTAGTAGCAGCACAGAACTTACACTTGTCCAATCTCATCTGAGTATTCTAAGGTGCTTTCTAATTCAACCGAAACATTCTTTGATCTGGCGTATCGGTTGTTACTTTAACTTTGAGCCATTCCAGTTTAAACGAATCTATCGCTTTTTTGTGTGCCACGTTGTTGTACTGCTTTTTACACACACTTTTTCCTCAACATTTTTAAATAGCACACAGTAGTGGACATTTATTCCTGATTTACCTAAGCAGTGTGTGCATACTAAAACATTTCGATCCACATGCACGTAATAATCCCAAGAATCGGATATATAATATATAAATCTTTAAACCAAACAGAGCAAAAACATCCACCTTAAGTAACGTAAAACTTGCATCTGACTTGGCTTAATCGTCAAAGTTTCAAGATGAGGTGGAGGGGAGTGAGAGGGGCGGGGGTCAAGCGACGATTAAAAAAAACGTGCAGGGTCAGCTTCAATTCACAATACAATGCAGGTATTAGATGTCAGCTCCGGTCAGTTTTCAGGGTAAACCATTAAATCAAGCAATGGGAGTGTCACACAGCCCCGCTCAGGTGAGAGTTAAGTCATAAACTAGACCTGTGCTATGACAACCGAGGTCACCCCCCTTCCCCCCCCCCCCCCCCCCCCCCCCGTCAGTGATAACCGCAGTTTCTGTTTATACCCCAAAACACAAAGGACTGTTCGTTTAACAAAACATGAACTAAAAATGTCGCTTAATTCAAATCACTGGCCACAATTTTCCTTGTGAATTAGGCTCGCCCGACGTTCTGGTAATCTGTGCGCGGGGTCAGAAAATGTCTGCGCGGCACATTTGAAAGTACTGCGCGGCCGCGCTTTGAAAGTACTGCGCGGCCGCGCAGCCGCGCAGCTTAGAGGGAACACTGATGCCCAGTCGCCTAAACTTTCCCTAACGAGGGTTAGGTTCCCATCAGAGCTAGGTGGACTCAGGGACGTTCAACTATCCTGAACCCGGATTCGAACTCGAGACTTTCGTAATAAGATGCAACATGGGCTTTTACTAAAACTAATTAGACAAACATGGAGACTAGCCCAGAAAACAAGAGTATAAGCTCCATCGGACTTTGCACTGTGTCACAGTCTCCTATCAAATGACATTATGAATATGACATCATTAGAGTAGGCATCAGTAGCGTAGCGAGGGGGGGGGGCGGGGGGGACATATGTCCCCGGCGCCGACCTTAGGGGGGGGGGGGGGGGGCGCCAAATTGAAAGTTTGAGGGGGGGGGGGTGCAAATGAAAAGTTCGGGTGGGGGGGGGGTGCAAATCGAAAGTTTGAGGGGGGGGGGTGCAAATGAAAAGTTCGAGGGGGGGTGCAAATCGAAAATTTGCTCCCAAGGGGGCGCCAAATTGAAAGTATGTCCCCGGGCGCCGGGAAGGGTCGCTACGCCTCTGGTAGGCATGTGGCATAGAGATTGACTTTTGAACTTACAAGATCTAACTAAAATCTTTAATTTTTTTTCTTTATATTATATATAAGTAGTCTGTAAACCAAAATTTAACTCAATATTTACTCTAATTTTGTAACGGATACAACATTTCAAAATCCGATATAGTTCCTTTTCTATATTATAAGGGATGATTGTATAATTATTAATTTTAATTTTACAATTAAGAAGAGTTTAACATTAGAAAAAAAAAAAGAAGTAGGCCTATAACTTACATTTGCCACTGAGTAGATAAAAATACGGTAGTTTCTTATTTGATTTAATGCTACCTACATATTTGTAGGAAACTAATACCCTAATTTTTCAGGAAATTATCAATAGGATTAAATTCTTAGACGGTACAAACTAGCATATACATATACAAATAGCCCGACATTTATGGATTATATTATACAAATCACGACATATTTAGAATTTAGACTACATTTCAGTAGCTACATGCAACACTACATTTCAGAAGCTACATGCAACACTACATTTTAGAAGCTACATGCAACACTACATTTTAGAAGCTACATGCAACACTACATTTTAGAAGCTACATGCAACACTACATTTTAGAAGCTACATGCAACACTACATTTTAGAAGCTACATGCAACACTACATTTTAGAAGCTACATGCAACACTACATTTTAGAAGCTACATGCAACACTACATTTTAGAAGCTACATGCAACACTACATTTTAGAAGCTACATGCAACACTACATTTTAGAAGCTACACCTAGCCCTAAATTAGAAGCTACACCTAGCCCTAAATTAGAAGCTACACCTAGCCCTAAACTAGAAGCTATACGTAGCACGTACAGAGTTTCTTCCAGGCATCTCTTCGGGGGGCGAAACCCCCCCCCCCCCCGAAAATTTTTTACCGCCCCTCCCCCGAACGAAATGAAATTTATATAATTTATATAGAAAATATATACTTTTAACAGTGTCCGCCCCCCCGAAGAAAGTCTACCGCCCCCCCCCCCCCCGAAAATTTCAAGCGCCCCCCCCCCCCGGAGAAAAAAGCCTGGAAGAAACACGTAGCACGTAGCCCTAAACTAGAAGCTACACGTAGCCCTAAATTAGAAGCTACACCTAGCCCCACATTTTAGAAGCTACACAAATCTCTAACGGGGACTGATATCGCGGGAGGTACAGTTTGATTATATTATCCTTGCCTAATCCGCCATTTTGTTGTGAGCTGTGTTCACCTGCCCGTGAGTTTGTTTATTTTAACCAAGGTGTTTGTTTTTATATTTTCTTATTCAGGAAACAACTTTTTTTTTTCTACTGGAAAAAATCTGCTTGGGATTTTTTAAAAAGTGTTTGGAAATTCTGTGAATAGTACAGGAACTGATGTTTGATTGGTTGATTCATTACCACGTGACTAGGATGCTGTAATATTTATACCGTGTTCAGACGAGCGTGTCGGCTTGTGATTATCTCGCTAACACCTGACCGGCGAATCTAGTCGCGCCCCCCTCCCACCATTATTCCCACAATCAGCCCCCTGCCCCCCGGTCCACAGGGGCCTGGACCAACCCTTGGCCCGGGGCCCACCGCCTACGCTACCCTGCTCTCGCCTGATGTCCCGATGTCCCCCAGGGGCCGGCACATGGATTGTGGAGCCACCATGGGCCACGAGCGGTTCGACTGCGGCCCTCACGGCTCCGACAGGGGGCCCTCGGAGCCGATGGGCCCCGAGAGGCTTGACTACAACGACCACCGACACCTCCACCACCTAGCCCATGACCGGTTTATAGACTGCGTGTCCGGTTCCCCGCTAGACCGGCTCGCGCATCACGAGAGACTAGACTTCGAGGGGCCCTTAAACGACGACCGCTTAGGATGCGGGGGCCCCGATGCCAACATGAACACGATGGGTAAGATGGGGGCCCAGCTGAGACACACGGGCCACCTGTTAGCAGAAGACGACATCAAAGACGAGTACCATTTTTCTGGATTTGGTTTGATTCAGGACCGGAACTGTATAGACCATCACCGGGTGAGTACTCAATTTCTCTCACATTCTTACAGCACAAGCAGTAGTTTATGAGTCTAATTTTGATGTTATCGCGACCTACACAGTCTGTTGCTCTTGTGGCTGCAGATTTGAAGGAAGGAAACTTACTCTTGTTATAGTCATTACAATATATATATATATATATATATATATATATATATATATATATATATATATATATATATATATATATATATATATATATATATATATATATATATATATATATATATATATTGTAAAGTTCCCTTTTGAAGGAAGGAAACTTACTCTTGTTATAGTCATTACAATATATATATATATATATATATATATATATATATATATATATATATATATATATATATATATATATTGTAAAGTTCCCTTTTGAAGCTGATATGGGGCAAGTGAAGTAGAGTTCACCTGTTTCTGTGAGCTCGGGAAAAGAAGGGATAGTGTGGTCAGCACTATGAGGCTCAACTGCCTTTACTTTCCCTAACGTGAGGCAGGTATCTGGATCTCTCCCCCTCTCTCTCTCTTTATACACACACACGCACTCACGCACGCGCACACACACACACACACGCACAAACACACACACAAATATATATATATATATATATATATATATATATATATACATATATATATATATATATATATATATATATATATATATATATATATATGTTACGGTCAAAGCCCGAAGTGCGGCCAATGCTAGGATTGGCCGGCCAATCCGCGCATTGGCCGGCTCTCTTGGCCAAAGCCCGAAGAACTTAGCACTAAGATCGTATTTCGTACATTGGCCGGCCAATGCGCGCACTGGCCGGGACGTACTGGCCAAAGTCCGAAGCGCTTAAACTTGACAGCGTATTTTGTACATTGGCCGGCCAATGCGCGCACTGGCCGGTATGTCCTGGCCAATGTTCTATCTAGACTAAGTTGTGATCGCATTTTCATTATTCTGGGTGCGTTTTCATTGAGAGTAACGTATTGTTTAGCTCTTGTTTGTATAGCATTCTATATGCAAGGCGACATGGATCAAAAGGGCCGTCAGACCATGAGACAGACATAGCAGATGGCTGTCAAAAGAAAAAAATGTAAATCCATGTTAGTTTCCATATATGGGCTCTCGATAAAATAGTTACTGAGGAAGATCTTGAGAACATTGAACAAGAAATGGAGGTTGCCATAAATGCAACGACATCCTCAGCTAACACATCTACTGCCGTGGCGGAACGTCCAGACCAGTTGCGTGACAATAATGTGGCCAACAGATTCTGTATAGTTTGTGAAAAACATTGTAGTGCAGCTCATTCTTTTGGATACTGTGGCAACGATGTCCATGCTATTTGTGGAATACCCAATGAAGCAGACGAAGGGTACGGAGGGAACATTACCTGCAGATTGTGTCACAACAAACAAGACATCATGGAACACAGGTCAGCAGCTCATACTGGCTTGCAAACTCAAGGTGCTAAGATGCTTAAAACATCAAATACAAAATTTAAAGATGGTGAAGTGGGTGACAATGTACGCATCCGTTTTCCAGATGTTGACGGTGATCCCCGAAGCGTGATTGCAGTTGTCATGAGCGTCGAGGGCGGTTTCTACAAATTAGGAACGGCACATGGTGTTCTAAAACAACTGTATGCTAAAAGTGAGTTTTCAATTCTTCACGAAAAACTGCTCTTATTGTCGTCAGTTGGCACTGAGGAAAAATCACTACGAACCATCGCATTTTCACAATCATTGACTGGGGGCCAAGGCTACACTCGCTGCAATTGCACAACTAAGTGCACAACAAATCGCTGTAAGAGTAAAAATAACAAGCTGCTATGTAATTCTAAATGCCATAAAAGTTCAACTTGTTGTAACAAATGATGATATTGATAGATTGAGACTATAGTACAATAAAAAATTAGAATGTTTCTGTCATTTACTTTAATTAATAATCAATAAAGACTTAATTTCATGACCCTTACGGTATAAAAAAAAAACAAAATGTGCTCATGATCTTCTAATTCGAACTTTGGCCGGTCGTCCCTAGCCAGATGATCTTCTAATTAAGACTTTGGCCGGTCCACCATGGCCAGTCCGGCCGGCCAAAGGCCGAAATCAAGAGCTATTTCAGACTTTGGCCGGTCCACCATGGCCAGTCTGCGGATTGGCCGGCCAAAGGCCGAAATCAAGCAAAGTTTCGGATTTTGACCGACCTATGGGAGGCGATATTGGCCAATGCGCGGATTGGCCGGCCAATCCTAGCATTGGCCGACTTCGGGCTTTGACCGTAACATATATATATATATATATATATATATATATATATATATATATATATATATATATATATATATATATATATATATATATATATATGGGGTTGTAGGAAAAAGGTACATGTATTACTTATTTGAAAAAATAGGTACTATAATTAATTACAACAAATGGATTACAATTTAAGCGTGTGTTTGGCATGTGGTAGATTTTACATATTTTTTTCATAGCAGAAGAAAAAAAGAAGTATAAAATGTCTAAAAAGTTGTTGGCTATCTGGGTAGATTAAGTATAGTCTGACAATTTACTAATCTGAGAAATGTAGATTTTTTTTACTTTACCCAAATTAAGCATGGCGCCTAATAGAACTGATTTTTTTTTTTTTACTTTACAATACAAACTAAAAATATTGTTAAATGAACACTTGAATGGTATACATTCCCTCAATAATTCTTCCTCGATGTGTGAAACCTTTTTTTTTTTTTTAAGTTTCTTTTTTGGATGAATTAATTAATTTCCGATGTCTAATTAATTTACAAAAGCGACTATAGCTACTTACGACAAAGTTCTAAAATATAAATATTGGTGTCTACCCTTATTAGTCATGTTTTACCCGAAAATATCAAAACGCAAAAGAAAATTATTCAAATCAAACTTAACCAACAATGATATTGCTAACAAATGTGGTAGTTGCAGTAAGGATTAAGCAAATAGTTATAAAACTAATAGTGTTGCTACATAACAAAACACATACAAATTATTCTCTCTACCAATACAACACTATCTGAAACACCACAACACCAAACTGTCTAAACCACCACACCAAACTATCTGAAACACCATGACACCAAACTGTCTAAAACACCACAACACCAGATTATCTGAAACACCACAACACCCAATTATCTGAAACACTATAACACCAAACTATCTACAACACCACAACACCAGACAACCACTAGATCTAATTGCTGTCAACCACAAAAGGACAACCCGCAGTTCCAACAGCAGCATACGGCTCATTGAATAGCTCAGCCAACTACGGCTTAACAAATGAGCCTAACACACTCACTGAAGTACTAAAATCGACTCACCAAATCACCATATAGCTCAATACAACTCTTTGAAAAAAGCTATTTACATATAATGTGTTATTCTCCCATTTAATAAAAGTCATAATATATAATAACTAAACAATTGAAATGCAAAAACCATACGTGCTGTATTCAACTGAAATACTTATACCACGGTGAACCTTTCTGAAATTACGTAATCAGTTGTTAGCTATATAAGGAATGTAATTTAATGAATGTTGTTTTCATTATGATGTTGCTATTTTATTGTTTATTAATGTTTACATTTCCTAGGGATAATAATTCAGTTTAAATATTGGGTTTTAATCTATGCCTTATAAAACGTTAGGATTAGTTAAGTTTATAATTTAGTATTCCGTTGTACGGTTAGGCTTTCCGTTATAGATTGTTCTTGTAGAGATTATGGGAGCATATTATGTTATGGGTTAAGGTTTTAGTACTGCATTAAATAATATTTGTTTTATTACATATTTGTGCTGTCTTAATTAAATATAATTAAAATAAAGATTTTGGGTCAAAGGAAAGATAATTTTATAATTTTTAAGCTGCTTATTGTTTAAAATTTAGTTGTAAATGCTTTTGTAATTGTGTGTGAGCTAGAATTAAGCTCTAGCTCCATACGGAGTAAGCTCTGAATGAAGTATCGGACCGAAGTTGATAATTAGTTCACACATCACACGTTATGTGATTCAACTTTCAAACAAAAAACTATTTTAGAGATTTTTTATTGTATGAATGTACTCCTTTTGCTAATTACGTATAATTGTTATGTAATTGTTTATTGTTATTTGATTACGCCTCACTGTTACATACTTATATTTTATTATGTAATTATGTTTCATAGTTAAGTACTTGTTTATTTGTTATGTAATCATGCTACATAGTTTTGTAATTATGTTTCATAGATAAATAAGTATGTTTGATAGTTATGTAATTATTCTTCAAAGTTTTGTAATTATGTTTCATATTTTTTGTAATTATTTTTCATAGTTATGTAATTATGTTTCATAGTTATGTAATTGTTTCTTTGTTATGTAATTATGCTTCATAGTTTTGTAATTATGTTTCATAGTTATGTAATTATGTTTCATAGTTATGTAATTATGTTTCATAATTATGTAATTATGTTTCATAGGTATGTAATTATCATTACAGTTGCGTAATTATATTGTATGGTCATATAAATTATTACGTTATATAAATATCTTTCATTGTTAAATGCCAACAATATAAAACATATACTTACTCTGTTTTAGGCCTGAGGTTTATCTAATATAAACATATAGTTTATATATAGCTGGGGGGTGTTAATTATTTAAATAAGAAAATGGAAGACATTGCATTTTCTAATGTAGGAGTGGGAGGGGGGGGGAGGGGGGGGGGGGTAAAGATGTAGCTAACAGCAACACAAAAGTTTAGCTTGTGTTTACAAAGAGTTTTAGTTTAGTCTGGTGCTATCTGAAAACAATAGGAAGGGGAGACAAGTTGGTGGGTTCATCCGGAGTAGGGGGGATGAGGATTGTTGTGGGGTCTGTTTCTAACTACTCACTGCGATTAAGTAGAGCTCAGATTGGCTTAGGATGAGGAGGAGGTCGAACTGAATATACGTACCTTGGTTTGTTTACATAGATGGTGTTTGGTGTTGGGGCTTCAAATCTTGGGGATTGGGATAAAATATGGGAGAGGGGATAGGTCGGGATAGGATAAAGTATAGGATAAGGTATAGAATAGGATAGAGAATGGAATGGGTAGGCGTTAGCGTTGGAGGAATACTCGAACAACAATACGCATTAATGATTACAAAATCTGTAATAGTATTATTATAAGTATAAATAATTATATAGTCATGATATTTAGCACATATAATTATATAAACAATTACAATATTATAATAATAATAATACTATAGATATACATTATTATATAGACATAATATAGCAGATATAATTATATAATCACATTATATGTTTATGTATGTGTGTGTGTATGTGTATGTGATGTGTGTGGATTTAGCTACACATTTAAATGTTGGTCAAACTTGAGAAGTTATTATTTTAATTAAAAGATGGCACAAAGCCAATAACATAAGATTTTAAAGCAAAATGCAAACCAAATTTGTAACCGTCGTTCCCACATGGTTTTGAACCCACTACCCTTATATATACACAAGCAGCGGCTGGTGTCAGAAGTTAGAGAGATGTGGATGAGTATTGAGAAAGGTGACAGTAAGAGCAAGGGAGTAAAGAGGATTAACAAAGGGGGGCGGGATAATTCCAGAGGTGTGAGGTTGGGAAATTATAAAGCACGCTCACAGTGCACTGACAGGCGGGTTAAATATAAATCATGACGTTTCGACCTGAGGACTACGTAAGAATACCCAGCATACTTAGGTCTAGGATATCTAAGATGACCACAAAGTAGGGTTCTTAATAAAAATCTAATGCTAATACTGCTAAGATCAACACAAAAATCGTGACCACTGGTGTCCGTGTCTTGTCTTAGCCATCGCCCAGTGCCCGGTACTTGACCACTGGTCAGGCTAATGGCAGACGGGAAGATAACTCACGTTTGTCAGGGGTTAAGACAAAAAAAGTTAAAAATAAAATACGCTGAGAATTGTACTTCTTAAGGCTGTTATTGAATCGAAATTCATCCATTCCTCCAATTTTCTCAAACTTATCATTTGCCATTTCAAGAAACTCATCCTTTTTCATTTCCTCAAACTCATCTTATCTCATTTTCTCAAACTCATCCTTTCTCATTTCCTTAAACTCATCCCTACTCTTACTCATCATGAAACTCTTCCTTTTTCATTTCCTGAAACTCATTTTCTCGAATCATCCTTTCATCTCCTCTCCCATCTCTTTCTCCCTACTCTTCAAAAACTCATCCTTTCTCTCATGTCATTTAAATAATCCTTCCCTACATTTCGTTTCTTATTGTCTTCTTGAGCCTTAATTAATCTATTTCATAACCCAAATCTAAAATATTTAAATGAGTTATCTACACAATTCACTATTCTATTCGTTACATAACAATGCTAACATCAATACACTATTTATATACGTCATCGGCATCTATCATTAAATCATTTTGGTTATTTCTACTTGATTTTTTCCTAAGAACATTTTTTTTCTGGAAAAATTACCATACATTTTTTTACGAAGATGGCATTGTAGGCTTTACACACATATATTACAAAACTAAAACTATAGATAGGTACATTTAAAAAAAAAAGCCAAAGAAAACAACAAAACAACAACATAAAAGGTATAATTCATCAATACTGTTTAGCCTTGTATTTAGTACATGAATAATATGAACAATAAAACATTGCACCGCATTGGTCATTGTTTTGGTTGTTTTACAATTTATCCAGATGCTAACCTCAATTTTAAGCATCCATAACTGTGTTTGTGTATTGTTTTAAGATCTATTTATTAATTTCACCAATACTTCACCATTTGCCATGAAAACACAAATTCACAATTTGACCTTAGATGCGGTAATTAACACTTCATTCAACATTCTTATGTATATATATATATATATATATATATATATATATATATATATATATATATATATATATATATATATATATATATATATATATATATATATATATATATATATATATATATATATATATATATATATATATATATATATGTATTTATGAGTATATATATCTTATGCTATGATCCGTAATACTAAATAACTTCATACAGTTAGATGCAGGAGGTGGTGGGCAACTTGGTGCTGATGTTGCCTACTCTCTGTGGTGCTTATCACAGATGTTATAGAAACTTGACCTAGCAGTTTTTTTTTTGTACCTTAGGGAGTGAAAAAAAACCCTATTTGTTTTCGTTTGTTATATTTTTTTAGCGCAATTTCCATTCTGGAGAATTGCGTTTATTAACCCGTCATTTCTGGATGGATGGATGGATGAATGTATGGATGTGTGTCTGCAGCTTTAAGTCGTATCTCCTCCTCAACGAAGCAATATCGATGACTAGTTACAAAAACAATTATGTTAAGCAAGTTACGAGGATGAACATAGGCCATAAAAATTCCGGGTTTCTTTCATGGATTTCCCGGAAAAGCCAAAAAACCTCGAAAAAATTCAGTTTTTGGCCCATATCTCGGCAACCAGACCACTTAGCGACTTGAAACATGTACCAATCGATTCCTGCCATAATTTAGAACAATATTGCCGAAGAAAGTTTTCAAAAATATTCTTTCGTTTGGTCACAAAATTTTTTTTGAATTAATTAAAATTTGGACCGAATTAGTAGGCATTTTATGCAACCACACCACACGCGTCATCACGTTCAATAGCTGCGCCATCACGTTCAATGGCTGCGACGTCACGTTCGGTAGCTGGGCGCGCAATGGTTTTTAGTCATGTAACTCTATTGTAAATAAAACATGTAAAATACTGAAAAAAAAAAATTAATAAAAAACGTTTTAATAACTAACCAATGGTTTTACTAACCCTGCTCTTGATTTACTCTACGACAGAGCTATTTTTAGATAACACAAGGAAATTGCGCTAAAATTGTCACTAGACTTTTTTTAATTACTTGTTTAAAGAACGGGTGGAGTGGGAATAGTAGACGGTGGGTCGCTTTCTGTCGCCATTTTTGCGACAAATTTGATGTTAGTAGCAGTATTTCTTCCAAACCTTTTTCTCCCGGTGAGGGGGCAGGGAGTGCATCCCTCCGAAGAGATGCCTGCAAAAACTCTGGTTAGTAGTCTAAAGAAGGTGGTAAAGTTTGAGCGACCCCTAATTGGCAACCTCTCGAACAACTTCCACAACCCTTAATGAAAAAGACTGCAATAAAAAGAACTGCACCTAACTATTCTTACTCCAATCTAGCTTTTAAAATTTTCCCTAATTTTATTTTTCTCTCTCTCTCTCTCTACAGCGGCCTATGCCCCCATTGGCGTCGGCCGATCCGGACATCCCCGGCTTCTGTGCCGGCTGCGGCGGAAGGATACTCGACCGGTACTACCTGCACGCCGTGGAGAAACAGTGGCACACGCACTGCCTGACCTGCAGTGACTGCCACTTCCGGTTGGACACGGAACTGACCTGTTTCGCCCGGGACGGGAACATCTACTGTAAAACAGATTACTACAGGTGAGACCTTTTTCGGCTTCCGGTGAGACCTTTTCCGGCTTCCGGTGAGACCTTTTCCGGCTTCCGGCTGGGCTCTATCCGGTTATTTCCGGTTTTGTCTTGAAAACGTATAAGTTTCATTCTTGGTGTGCGTTTCGTAATTAATTTATGATTCGATTGATTAGCTTTATCCACGTTTGTAACTATACCTTACATTGATTAGGTGGGTCACGTTTATGCCTTGGGTTTAAGTTAGGGTTAGAGGTTGATGTTTTCTTTCTGACATTGCGAGCTTTATGAATAAGGTTTTAACGCTGTTCGATAACTACAATATCTTTTTTTTAAATATATACATACTTTATAGTAGACCCAAGAGCTGAAAATAAATTTCAATTTAAATATTTAGCCTACCTACTGTTGGGTTTAAGGTTAAGAAAAGGGTTTAGATTAAGGTGTAGACAGCGTTACGACATGTTGGGATTAGGTTAAGAATCAGTTGTAGGATGAAGGTAACGGTTAAGGCTGATGTGAGGATTAAGTTTAGCTTCAGATATAGGTTGAAGTTTAAGACTAAGGTTAGAATACGGCCAGGGTTAGGGTTGAGTAAGGGAACAAGTAAAATAACAGTATTAATACTATTTTTTGTCAATCCGGAAATGTACCGTCGATTACCTCGCCATCGTATATTGTATTTAGGACGCTGTTAAATTTTTAATTATAATGTTTGGATATTGAAAAGTTGAAAAATATATATCAACAACCCCCTCAACGAATTGAACCCCACACTTACAAATTTGAAGATAACCTCTAAGACCTAATGCTCCCCCCACCCCTCCCCCCAACACACACACTTAACTGAACCTCAAATCCCCGCAAGTACCAATTCCAAGATTATCCCATAACCAGTGGCGTAGCGAGGTCGGGTGTCACCCGGCGCGGCACTTAATGGTGTCACCCCCAGAGGCGTACCGACCCTTCCCAGGGACAAACTTTCAAATTTTCGATTTGCACCCCCCCCCCCCCCCCCCAAACTTTCGTTTTGCACCCCCACCCTCAAACTTTCGTTTTGCACCCCCCCCCCAAACTTTCGATTTGCACTTTTCTCTATATATTTTGCTATTTTTTGCCTTGGTGTCACCCCCTAAATGGCGGTCCGCACCCCAGCCCCCCCCCCTCGCTACGCCTCTGCCCATAACACCTAATAAAACCTCACATCAAACCCCACACATCCAGCGATTCCCCCCCCCCCACCACTCCCTCCCCCCGACCCCGATAGACATTTTTAAACCACGACGGCACGATTCACGTAAATCACAAATCTCGTATTTCAAAAACTCGCACGAGCATCACGTATTTCGTTCATCACGCCAAAGCTCTCAAATGTCATATCTCATTGTCATATGCCATCATTAACCCCCCCCCCCATCCCCCACTTTATATACCACTCCCGTCTCTGAAATATCAAACGAAATCTTACACGTGCGAGAACTAAGCCTATACTCACTCTGGTTTTTCTTTCACAAGAGTTCGAATTTTTCTCGATTTTTTTCTTCTTCTTCTCCATACAAGAAGAAATCGATGCATCGTCTTCCTCAGGTTTCAAAAATTTGGAAATCGAATACTGGACGTCATTAGATTACAATCTGCGCTTTCATCATTAAAGATCATAAAACTAAAAATAGCTTTCTTTAAAAACATGAACAACAAAAAAGTGTATAAAGTAGGGAAACCCATTTGGTCAAATATTTAACAAAAAGATTAAATTTTGTTTAGAACCTAAAACAAAAAAAAAAACAGGAATAATAAAACAACACCGAGGATCGATAAAATACACACAGGAATTATGGAGATTAATCATGCGTGACGGAGTATTGTTTGATATCGGAACGTAGCCGTAAAAAAAAAATAATCGAGTAGAAATGTAAACAGTCACGGCGATTATCTCCCATTTTTAATAAGGGGAAGGAATAATTGTAAGATCGACATAATAGATGCCGAGTTATTTAAAAGGCTGTGTTGTGTGTGTGTGTGTGTGTGTGTGTGTGTGTGTGTGTGTGTGTGTGTGTGTGTGTGTGTGTGTGTGTTAAAACCTGTGAATCCTCGCCCCCGGGCTCATCGAGCGTGTCGTCTGCTACTTAGCAAACAACTGTTGTGAAAGTTACTTTTGTCCCCATGATTATAGATTTTTTTTTACGACGCCAAGAAGCATCAATTGAGCTGTTTTTTTTTCTTTTAGAGTTTACAAAATAGCCGATACGACACCCCCCCCCCCCACACACACACACAAATAATGGGTATACAATGTATTTATAAAGTTTTAAGGATTATGTTACGCTTCTAATTAATCAACTGTTTCATACACGTTGAATCATACAAAGAAAGTTACAGAAATTAGGCTGTGCTAATATAAAATCGAGAGAGCCATAGAGAAAAAAATGTAGCAAATTTTAACAATGTTTTTTTTATACAAATGTCAACATAATCTACAAAAAATAAAAAATATAATCTGAAAATATAATCAACAACGGCGTATATTCTTAACATTATCTTCTGTTCAGATACCGACTATTTAGTTTAACTGGCGATGAGTTAAGTCAGTAGCGTAGCGAGGGGGTGGGGCGGTGGGGGGGGGGACATATGCCCTAACCCCGGGCGCCGACCTTAGGGGGCGCCAAAATGGGTTGGAAAAATAAATTGAAAGGTTGAGGGGGTTGCAAATCGAAAGTTTGAGGGGGGTGGGGTGCAAATCGAAATCTTGAGGGGGGGGGGGTGTGCAAATCGAAAGTTTGAGGGGGGTGCAAATCGAAATCTTGAGGGGGGGATGCACATCGAAAAGTTTGTCCCCGGGCGCCGGGAAGGGTCGCTACGCCTCTGAGTTAAGTCGAAGGCTGGTAAAGGCTTTAACTTCAATTTTACTACAAGTTAATAATATAAAGTTTGCGGAATAGTTGCATATTTTTCTTATTCCTCTTCGTAAATTCAAGTTTGATTAAGTGCGTTTTGAATTAGACTGTATTGTCAACTATAACTCAGTCTCTGAAGTAAGTAATATAACACGCTTTAGCTTAACGCCTAATCCATACTATTACCTAAGCTATTGTCCAAACAATAATCTAAAGAACAACGCAAGCTAAAATATGATCCAAGCTATATTCCAAGCTAAAACCCAAACTATACCCTAAACTGTAACACTACCTATAACCCAAGCTAAGAGCTAAAATCCAAACTATAACTCAACTAAGATTTATTACCCAGGCTATTACATATTCGAAAAGCGATAACCCAAGCAATAGTTCAAGCTATAACCCAACATAAAATAACCCAAGTAATGACCCAAGCTATAAACCCTAAACTCTAAGCCTAACTATAACCCAAGCTATAAGCTAAAATCCAAACTATAACTCAACAAAGAGTTATAACCCTGGCTATTACAGAAGCAAAAAGCGATAACCCAAGCTCTAATTTAAGCTATAACCCAACATAAAATAACCCAAGTAATGACCCAAGCTATAAACCCAAACTATTGACTAAGCTATAACCCAAACTAAAAGCTAAAATCCAAACTATAATCAAGATTATAACCCAAACTCTAACCCAAAACTATGACCAAAAACTCTAACACAAAACTATAACCCAAAACTATAACCCAAAACTATGACCCAAAACTATAACCCAAAACTATAACCGAAATTATGACCCAACCCTCACGAATCATCATGCCCCCACTCCCCCCCCCCCCCCAACATCATCAGTATCCGCACCCGCAACAGTCGTCTTATCTCTTAGTCCCGCCTTCTTAGGTCACGTGGTAAAACAACATCAGACGACCACATGCCCCCACAGCTCACCCCCGTGGGTCGGGGCGGCCGTCACGGTCTGTCCCTGCTCACACAAGCGTGACCGCTGTAATATTTCCCCGGGGACACGATCAAGCAGAGGAACGCGCTCACCCTATGCGCGCCACGCTCTGGAACCGTGCGTTAACTCTTATGGTGCCAGACCTACTGCGGGAAATGTCCGAGTTAACCCTTTATATGCCTATTTGGTTACGATAAAATAAAGCTTTGCGTTTACACTTTGTACATCAACCCAAAAACTTTAAACAAGTAAATTAACTCTTTGTATGCCTATTTGATTACGCTAAAATAAAGCTTTGCGTTAACCCTTTGTACATCAACTCAAAAACTCTGTGAGTTAATTTTTATAATGTCTTCTAAATAAGTAAATTAATCCTCTATATGCTAATCACAATAAAATCGAGGAACGCGTTAATTTTAGCGAGCCAACGGTAATTGTCATTCATCTTGTAATCCCTTATAGAGAACTGTGTTAACCAATTATATACCAGCCTAAAATGCAGTCAATTATGTAATCACATGTTAGACCGCAATTGATTAAGTATTGATGCGTCAGTTTCAAATCACATTTAAGATCCTTTGACGTCTGTAATATTACCTAGCGGTAGAGAGCTGGACTGTTAACCCGTAAGTCTCGAGTTCGAATACGGGCTCAAGTCAGTAGACAGTCCCTGAGTCCACCCAACTCTGTGGGGTACCTTTCTCTCATTAGGGAAAGTAAAGGCGGCTGGGCATAATGCTGACCACACTGTTTCTTCATATGCCCAGGTCACTGAAACAAGTGAATTCTACTTCACTTGCCCCGTAGACTGTCAGGTTTGAAAAGGAACTTTACTTTCAGTAATATCGCATTAACCCTTAACCCGCCTGTTTTTACACAACTTAGTTAACCCTTTAACTACTAGCGTAGTGGACATCACCTGTAATATGCGCGTGTTTTAACCCCAAAAGCAAATTACTTAAAACTCATCAAAGTGAACGTTAGTGAAGAACACATTAAAAAAAATACTGTCTATGTCTGTATACAACTAACCATCATTTTGCCCCTATGATGCCCAGTAATTACCCACGGTGCCCTGTGAATAACATAACCCCCCCCCCACCCCCAAACAAAAACAAAAAAACAACAAAACAAAAAACAAGAAACAACAGAATAAATATGTT